TAGTCTGGGCGACAGAGCAAGACTCCATCTCAAAGAGAAAAAAAAAAAGGAAAGATGAGGTCCCCGTGTTGCTCAAGCTGGTCTTGAACTCCTCACCTCAAGCTATCGTCCAGACACCATCTCCCAAAGAACTGGGATTGGAGGTGCAAGCCATGGCCCCTGGCCTATTTTATAATTTTTATGAGTTTTTTGTCTTTATCCTGGACTTCACTTTATTACCTTGAGAAACGGTTACATTTTGCTGGCCTCATTCTGTTGTACAATCCCCTAGGAGGCTGCAATAGCCTCCCCATCTCCCGCTTCCCCCCTCCTGGAAACGGTTTCCTTCTTGGAAAGGTAGACATGTTGTTTGTTTGCGGGGGCATCTCAGCTGGGCATGAGGGATACAACATTTGGACAGAAGCCGAAGGAAATACTGGCAGATTTTCTGACTCCTAGCTGTGGCTTTCCCTGGGGTGTGGAAGAGGGCAAGGAGAGAGTACCTTTGAAGAGCAGAAACAGCTCCATGCGGCATTCCAGAGTATGCTCCAACTGCCAGCTGGGTGGCTCGCCACGGGAGGCTGGGAGCCAGGAGCCCAGAGGCCCGTGCGGTGGTCCGGCTGGCTGAGGTGGGGCTGGCTTTTGTACAGTGGAGGGCATCTCTTTGGCCCCTGTTCTGCCCTGAGGCCCCTCCTCTGAGCTCAGACCTGGGGCTGAGGTGGGACCTGGGACTGTTCCACGAAGCCCTCATGCCTTCCAGCTACCTGGTGATGCCCTTCATGCAGTCGGATCTGCAGAAGATCATGGGGATGGAGTTCAGTGAGGATAAGATCCAGTACCTGGTGTATCAGATGCTCAAAGGCCTTAAGGTGGGTGGGGACTTGGAGAGTGACAGAGCCGATGCCTTGGTGTCCAGACCTGAGGTGTGGGGAGGCTGGAGGGAGCAGACTGTTACAGGTCGGAGGTTTCTGAGCCAGCCTGATGTGCCTGATGTGGGAGCCGGGCCATGGACTCACCCCTCTCTCTCTCCCATACAGTACATCCACTCAGCTGGGGTCGTGCACAGGGTGAGTGCTTCTTTGCCATGGTCCTCAGAGGCCCCGTCCCATCCCTGGGTGGGGGACTCTCTGGAAGCCTCGAGCTGCCTCACCTCCACCCGCAGCCTCTCTTCCTTGCCTCCTCCGTCTTTGTGCCTGGCCACTGCCAGCCCTACCTGCCACCTGAGGCTCCTGCCCCTGCCTTCTTGGTGGGCATTGTCTCCTGGGTGCTCTTTCTCCTTGAGCTGACTTCACTCTCCATGCTCTGTCTGAAGGGGGTTGGGAAGGAGTGGGAAAGGTGGAGGGATAGGACACTTCCCGGGAGCACAGAATGTGGAGTTTTTCAGACCCAGCCATGGCCCAAGAAGACCTGCTCGAAAGAGTTGCTGTGTCCCAGGGGACTTCCTGGGGGAATTGCTGCAGACACAGTGAGCCCTGAGCTGAGTGTTTCAGGCTTCAAGAAGCAGGAACATTTTAGAGCTGGATGGGCCCCGAGAGAACACCTAGTCCAACCCTCATTTACACATGAGAAAACTGAGGCCCAGAAAGGGAAGGGGCTTGGCTGAGGTCACATCCCTGGGTGGTGGTGGAGCTAAGACCAGCTCTGTCTCTGCCTCAGCCTTGCACGCACTCTCTGTCCTCCCCCCAGGACCTGAAGCCGGGAAACCTGGCTGTGAACGAGGATTGTGAACTGAAGGTGAGTGGGCCACGGGCTCAGCCCAGAGGCGGGATGGGCCCTCCCCGAGGGGAGCCTCTGGAAGCTGCTCCCAGAGCCTCCTCCCCTCTGCAAGTTCCTTTTCCATAGATCCTGGATTTTGGGCTGGCGCGGCCTGCAGACGTCGAGATGACTGGCTACGTGGTGACCCGCTGGTACCGGGCCCCTGAGGTGATCCTCAGCTGGATGCACTACAACCAGACTGGTCAGTGGTCAGTGCCTGAGAGGGCGGTCCTGGGGCCAGCTGGTCACTCAGCGCTGACTGACTGCCGGGTTCCGGTCAGACATCCCAGGTGACACTCTCCCTCCCTCTGCAGTGGACATCTGGTCTGTTGGCTGTATCATGGCGGAGATGCTGACAGGGAAAACTCTGTTCAAGGGGAAAGATTGTATCCTTTGCTAGAAAAGCCAAACTCCATCTAGGGATTCCTTCCTTCAGCAGACACTTTATTTAAATAACTGTTTTTGTTTTTTTTCTTAATGTGAGAGTGATACATACTCCCTGTAGAATAATTTTTAAATGGAGTAAGGCTGGATGAGGTGGTTCATGCCTGTAATCCCAGCACTTTGGGAGGCTGAGGTGGGAGGACCGTTTGAGCCCAGGAATTTGAGACTAGACGTGGCAACATAGCAAGACCCCATCTCTAAATGTTTTTTTTTTAATTAGCCAGACATGGTGGCATGCACCTATAGTCCAGCTACTAGAGAGGCTGAGGTAGGAGGGTTGCTTGAGCCTGGGAGGTTGAGGCTGCAGTGAGCTATGATTGTGCCACTGCACTCTAGCCTGGGCGACAGAGGGAGACCTAACTCAAAGAAAAAGAAAAAGAAAATGTTGGGTGGGCGCGATGGCTCATGCCTGTAATCCCAGCACTTTGGGAGGCCGAGGTGGGCAGATCACCTGAGGTTAGGAGTTTGAGACCAGCCTGGCCAACATGGTGAAACCCCGTCTCTACCAAAAATCACAAGAATTAGCCGGGTGTGGTGGCACACACCTGTAATCCCAGAAGGCTGAGGCAGGAAAATCACTTGAACCCAGGAGGTGGAGGTTGCAGTGAGTTAAGATCGTGCCACTGCACTCCAGCCTGGGTGACAGAGTGAGACCCTGTCTCAAAAGGAAAAAAAAAAATGTAGATAAGCAAAACGATGAGAAATGAGTCACCTATAATTCTACCACTATGGAAAATACATGTTGGCACCATACACATGAACTGAGTGCCTGTGTGTGCAGGGCAGGCCTTTGGACACAAGACAAGGAAACAAAAAAGAATGACTGAGTGGGATGAAGGCTGAGAAATCCACATGCATTTGTTGAGTAGGGACCCCCCACTCAGCCTGCCATGTTGGAAAGGCCTCTGGAGCCCTGAGCCCTGAAGAATGAGCCTCCTCCTGAGAGCTGGAGATGGTTAGGCAGGGCTGGAGCCTGGATGACCCATTGCCACGGTGCCCGGGTGGAGTGATGGTGGAGTCGTGGGAGGGGCAGTCTCAGACCCACAAGGAGAGCAAGGCTAAGCCTTAACCTGCCATCAAGACCTGGACCAGCTGACCCAGATCCTGAAAGTGACCGGGGTGCCAGGCACAGAGTTCGTGCAGAAGCTGAAAGACAACGCGGTGGGTGGTAAATGGGACGTAGGGTGGCCTGGGCTGCGTGCTTGGCTGACGTGGGCCTGGTGGACTGGAGGCCTTTGTGGAAGAAGGCTCACCAGCACCTTCCCACAGCATCCTCCTACCCTGCAGGAGCTCTTGTCTTCATCTCACCATGGACTGCGACCTGAGCCTTCAGCCCTGCCCTGAGGCTTTTCTGAAATCCCTGCTCTACACCCTAAAGCCAGAGCCCTGAGGGATTTGATGCTTTTCTGTCTTCCAGGCCAAATCCTACATCCAGGCCTTGCCACAGAGCCCCAAGAAGGATTTCACTCAGCTCTTCCCACAGGCCAGCCCCCAGGGTGAGTCTCAGGGTTCCCTCCCCAGGGGCCTCTCAGCACACCCCCATGGGCGGGCTCTCCCTGGCCCAGTGTGAGGCTCACAGCTCTGCCACTGCAGCCGTGGAACTGCTGGAGAAGATGCTGGAGCTGGACGTGGACAAGCGCCTGACGGCCGCGCAGGCCCTTACCCATCCCTTCTTTGAACCCTTCCGGGACCCTGAGGAAGAGACGGAGGCCCAGCAGCCGTTTGATGATTCCTTAGAACACGAGAAACTCACAGTGGATGAATGGAAGCGTAAGAGCTGGGGCCTCGGGCTTCTTCGCCTCCACCTGAAGCCTTTCTTCCTTGCCTCCTCCGTCTTTGTGCCTGGCCTCTGCCAGCCCTACCTGCCACCTGAGGCTCCTGCCCCTGCCTTCTTGTTGGGCATTGTCTCCTGTGTGCTTCTTTCTCCTTGAGCTGACTTCGCTCTCTGTGCTCTGTCTGAAGGGGGGTGGACTTCTTACCCTCAGCACCTCCTTGCCCACCTTAAACCATGCTGCCTTTCTCAGAGCACATCTACAAGGAGATTGTGAACTTCAGCCCCATTGCCCGGAAGGACTCGCGGCGCCGGAGTGGCATGAAGCTGTAGGGACACATCTCGCATGGCACTGCCGGCCAGACACTACCCAAGGACCAGTATTTATTTGTCACTACCAAACTCAGCCCTTCTTGGAATACAGCCTTTCAAGCAGAGGACAGAAGGAAGGATCCTTCTCCTTGAGTGGGAAATGGACCTAGTAGATGCAGAATTCAAATGCTGGTTGGGAGAGGATAGCTCTGATTCTAATGGGCCACATTAAACTGCCCATCTGGAGAATCGCCTGCAGTGGGGGGCCTTTCCTTTCTGCTGGAGTGGGGCTGAGCAGGTGCTGAGCCAGGCCGGGGGGCTGCTTTGGTTTCCTAGGGATGCTCTAACCAATTACCACAAACTGGGTGGCTTGAAACAGCAGAACTTGATTCCTTCATGGTTCTGGAGGCTGGAAATCTGAGCTGGAGGTGTTGGCAGGGCCGTGGTCCCTTTGAAGGCTCCAGGGAAGAATCCTTCCTTGGCTCTCTTTAGCTCATGGTGGCAGTGGGCAGACCGGGGCATTCCCGGCTTGGGCTGTATTCCTCCAATCTCTGTCTCTTCTGTTCTCTCTTCTTTTAAGAACAACAATCATTGGATGTGGGGCCCACCCTAATCCTGTATGAGCTCATCTCGATCCTTATTAATTACACCTGCAAAAGCTCTAGTTCCAAATAAAGTCACATTCTCAGGTTTCAGGTGGACACGAATTCTGCGGGGGAAACTATTGGACTCACAACAGATAGCTGGGAGGGAGGGCCCCTTCCTGGGCCTGGTGCTGAGGCCTAGTGCTCTGTTAAGGAACCAAATGTGTTTGGCTGCTAAATTAAGGGAATTGCGGAGAGAGCTGCAGCTGGTGCGATTGCATTCAGGTTATTTTGGGTGAGTGATAAGCAATCAAGATATGAAACAACAGCAGGCTTGGAGCCTGCGAGCTGCACAGGCAGAAATGGGCTCTTGCCTGGCTTGATGGCAACTGTTCTGCTCCCTTTGGGAGATGGCCTGGCCCTCCAGAGCTTTGACCTGCCAGTGGCTAGAACCTCTATGTTTTTATCTGAGAAACTCTGGCAGAACAAATTTCCATGTGCACAAGCTATCACGGACACAATGGGTTTCAATTTCCCTGTGCACCAGGGGACTTTTTAACATGCAGATTCCTGGGCCCCACTCCAGGGCTTGTGACTCAGCAGGTCTGGAGTTGAGACCTGAGAATGTGCATTTGAATGAGGCCCTCTAGCCCCGACCCAAGCCTAGTGATTCTGATGGATATCAGACCATAGTTCGAGACATTTAGTGGATTTCAGTCCCACTTGATTTGTTGGGAGGCCTTAATCAGAAACCTACAGTAGGAGGCTGAGGGGCTTCAGATGGAGCTTCACACTCATCTTACAGGTGTTAAAACTGAGAAAACGAAGGCTCAGATAGCTGTTTTTTTTTTGTTTGTTTTTTTGTTTTTTTGAGACAAGGTCTGGCTCTGCTACCCAGACTGGAGTGCGGTGGCACAATCACAGCTCACTGTAACCTCAACCTCCTGGGCTCAAGCCATCCTCCCACCTCAGTCTCCTGAGTAGCTGGGATTATAGGTGTATGCCACCCAGGTGTACCAGGACTACAGGTGGCTAATTAAAACAATTTTTTTCTTTTTTGCATAGATGGGGTTTCTCTATGTTGCCCAGGGTGGTCTTGAAATTCTGGACTCAAGTGATCCTCCCGCTTTGGCCTCCCAAAGTGCTGGGATTATAGGCATGAGCTACCCTGCAGGCCCAGACAGCGTTTTTAAGGCCTTGAAACTCTTCTGTATGACACTGTAATGGTGGATACATATTGTGTATTTGTTACAATCTGTGGGACTGGATAACACAGAGTGAACCCTCAAGTAAACTATGGACTTCAGTTAGTGTATCAGTATTGGTTCATAAATTGTAACAATTGTGCTATACTAATGCAAAATGCTACTAATCAGGAAAACTAGGGAGAGGGAAGCAGAGGGAGTACTGGGAACCTCTGTGCTTTCTGTCAACCTAAAACTGCTCTAAAAAATAAACAAGGTCAGGCACAGTGGCTCATGCCTGTAATCACAGCACTTTGGGAGGCTGAGGCAGGCGGATCACGAGGTCAAGGGATCTAGACCATCCCGGCCAACATGGTGAAACCCCGTCTCTACTAAAAATACAAAACTTAGCTGAGTGTGGTGATGGGTGCCTGTAATCCCAGCTACTTGGGACGCTAAGGCAGGCAAATTGCTTGAACCCGGGAGACGAAGGTTGCATTGTGAGCCAAGATCGTGCCACTGCACTCCAGCCTGGCGACAAAGCGAGACTCTGTCTCAACAACAACAACAAAAATTAACAACAACAAGGCTGGTCGTGGTGGCTCATGCCTGTAATTCCAGCACTTTGGGAGGCTGAGCCAGGTGGATCACTTGAGGTCAGGAGATCAAGACCAGCCTGGCCAAAATGGTGAAATCAACCCCGTCTCTACTAAAAGTACAAAAATTAGCCAGGTGTGGTGATTCTCCTGCCTCAGCCTCCTGAGTAGCTGGGATTACAGGCTACTCAGGAGAATGAGGCAGGAGAATTACTTGAATCTGGGAGGTGGAGGTTGCTGTGAGCCGAGATCGCATCACTGCACTCCACCCTGGGTGACAGAGTAAGACTCCATCTCAACAACAACAAATACCCTGAGGCTCCAGAGACATTGGGTCAGATTCCCACAGCTAGGAAGTGGTAGAGTTAGGATTGGAACCCAAGTAGGCTTGACCACTGTGCCCAGCTTGGATTCAAGGGTCGCCCAGCCTTCCCTCTTCTCGCCAGTCTCTCTGAGACCCTTACTGCTGGCTGTGTCCATGGTCTCTGTTTTCTCTCCCACAGAATGACCCTGCTGTCAAGGAGCTGGGGAGTTCTTGACGGGGACTGGCTCTGTCCTGCCCCAGCCCTGACCTCGCTGGCTACTAAACTGCCGCAGGTTCCTTGAGTCCAGATCCCTCCAAGTCTCCTGAGAATCCTCACCGCCCCAAGGAATAAGTCCAGCCTTCTTGGCCTGGCATTCAAAACCCCTGTGTTCTCTTTAATCTCATCAGCTCCTACTGCCTCCCATAGTCATGTCAGTGTGGCCTGCCCATGGGACACCACTCCTGGAGTCCATCATAAGATTCACTCTGTATTCACAGGTCACATGTCCTGGCAGGTCCTGCAGTAAAGAGATTCGTTCAACTCATTTAATTTGGCACTTCCCAAATATACTTAACCACAAGACCCATTTTCTCCCAACACATGACACATAGCCTTTTTTGCCCTGTGCAGCCCAGTGCACAGGTCCCGATACTGCCTCTCTCCAAGCAGGCTTAGCCTTCTTTTAGTGCCTGTGTGTGGAAGGCCCTCCGTGCTCCTCTTCATTGTCCTTGGCCTTCAAGGCTCTACCTTAGGCCTCCCTCCAGGCAGCTGTTCTCCATCATCCCCCCTGGGCTGCAGGCCCTCTGTGGGCAGCATTTACAGTGGTGTGTGATTTGGCCTCCCCTTCCCTTTGCCCACAGTAAGCAAGTATCTGTGCATGAATGAATGAATGAGTAAGTGAATGATGTCCCAGAGGCCTGTTGGTCACTTCTTTGCCCCGACCAGGCCAATGTTGTCTGGAAGGTGGCGGAGAACACAGCAGGAAGCAGGCTTACCTTTGAGCTGCTCTCCTGAATCCTCTCTGTTCTCTCAGACTCCCAGACCCTCCCTATTATCCCTTGGTGTCTCCCCAAGCCATCCCCCACTTCAGAATTAAACCTCAGCCCCCTCCCACAGAGCTTTCTCAAACCTGGGAAGTTTCTTCAAAACCTAGTGGAGGTGTTCAGCAGTGCAAGGTTGGGGGTGGAGGAGTGGGGGTAGGGTGGGGGTTCCGCGTGTTTGGGTCTTGCCCATTAGGTACATGGGTGATAGGAAACAAGTCTCTTCTGCCGCCTGGGGGCAG